ATGACTGATCAATAATACACGGGTCCCTCAAGCGTGAAGCTTTTACCTTTTCTCTTCTTTTAGTGCAGAAAAGAGCGGCTCTGCATCATTTGAGGCCAGGAAATGAACTATTCGATATCCAATAGAAACAAGAGCATGCTTACACAAACTGAGATTGCTGCAGGAAGCAGCGATAAATCTTTCTTTCCTGCTTGTCTGAAATCTGAAAAAGCAATTTTGATTGTTTCTATTTTGGTGTTATACATTTTCTAAAGATTTCATAGCACTTGATAAATGGTCTGGGTCCCATGGCTAAATACACTTAGCTGGGGACCAGGGGTCCAAATGCAGTTATGTCTCCTGGATCAGCATTATACTTAGCTTGGAACAAGGAAATAAAAGTTTTGAAGTGATGGGGAGAAGGGGAAAGAGCAATGTATTAATGTAATTAGAAGGCAGTGCTGTATCTGTTGTTCTTGTTTCTTAAAGCCAAAACCCTGCCAGTACTGCAACATTATAGCAGCTTTTATTGGAAACAAGTGCCAGCGTTGCACAAACTCTGAAAAGAAGTATGGACCTCCGCACTCCTGTGAGCAGTGCAAGCAGCAGTGTGCGTTTGACCGGAAGGATGACAGAAAGAAGGTCAGTATCTCTGTAAAAGGAGGCCAAAAAGGTAAACGGGCTGATGACAGTGTTTGTCTGTCCATCTCCTTCGTGTATTCTCTAGCATTTCAAAAGGGGGTGTGTCTTGGTTGTAAAGTGTTTTTCTGGAGTTGAGCTTTTGCTGTGGGAGCTGTGTTTTGGAGCTGTTTAGTCTTTGAGCCCCTTTACTCCTTTGCCAGATCTGCAAAAGAAAGATCTGCAAGAGAAAGATCTTTTGAATTTGGCCTAAGGGTAAGTGGGCTGGCAAAGGAGAAGGGCCCTCTGAGTGAAATGTGAAGTGCCCGCTCAGGGAGGCAGATGGAGAACGGTACTTGTGCCGCCGTAGCCTGAGGAGCTGGAAGTGTCATACCTCCACCAGGAAACCAATTCCATGGCACTGCACCCTTTGCTTATTCAACATAAGTGCTTCTTAGGAGGTGTGTATTTCTAAGGCCTGCTTCCTGCAGGCTATAAACATCTATTGTTCGTTTGGGATGCTGTACTGATAATCCCTGTCCTCCTGCTGATCCTCCTCAATCAGAGACCCGCTCTGTTTTGGTCTCCAGTGACTACCTTGTCACGTACCTTTCCTTGGTGTTGCTTTGACAGAAATCCCACTAGAGCTAGCCTGTCCTGGTGAATGGGTGCTATAAGATGGTCTGTAAGCAAAGCTTGGCAGAGACTGTAGTTCCGATAGATAAGCTGCTATTAATGAGTACTGTCTGCGCTGCATCAGCCATGTCACGTGCACTTCTTACCCTTTCCAGGCGCTTGAGAGGTCCTTTTGAGTCGCTGCTTGTTCGTATGTGATCTTAAGCCTGAAGGTGCTTCTTGTCTTCTCTGTGTTTGGTTTATGGGCGAGAAGCAAGACCAAAACTTCTCCCCCTCTCTTTTTCTCCCACCTTCCAGGTGGATGGAAAGCTGCTGTGCTGGTTATGCACGCTATCCTATAAACGGGTCCTGCAGAAGACCAAAGAGCAGTGCAAACACCTGAGCAGCTCTTCCCGGGCGAGCCTGCAAGAGAAGGAACAGTACAGTAGGCTCAGCAGTGGCAGCCACTATAACAGGTAACCTCTACGAGCTTTTCCGTTGCGCAGGGTGAGCTTGCCTCTGGGGTTAGCAGACAGGGCTGCTCCACGCTCCTTAGGGTGTGCTTCCTAAAGTAACTGGGAGAAGTGCCTGGGGGCTCGGTACCTTGGTGATAGGTTTTGGCAGTTGTCTGTTGTTCAGGAGAAGCTGGTTAAGTCAGGCTTTGCTCGTTTGCAAACCCCACTGTGCTGGAGTAGACTTGTAGTCCGACAGTGCTTCTTAGTGATTCAACTTACTGAACCTGTACACAATTAAAGCTAAATTGCATTTGTAAAATTTAATGATCGAAATGTAGATTTTAAGCGTGAGTTGTTCACCTGCCTGCTGATCTGACTGACACGTTGTTTTCTGTTTATTTTTAGTCTCCAACTACTCTTCAAGGAATTAATTTTTTATCATTCTTTCTTGCGCTAGGAAATCTTGTTTTAATAGGTTCAAAGTGTGTGGGAATATTTATCTGCTTCTCTGTCTTAGACTGCAAGTCATTCAGGTTCTGACATATGATTTCCTCATTTTTCTAGCCAGAAAACCTTATCCACCTCTTCTATTCAGAACGAAATCCCAAAGAAGAAAGCCAAGTTTGATGCCATATCTGCCAATGGTGACAGGTGAGCCTCTTAAATGGGGAAATTGTGGGTGGGCGGTCTTGTTTGCTAAGTTTAAATAAGACGGAGTTCTGTGCAAATAGGAGGAAGCTCTTGTGCTAGAGCAGGGATCTCAGGCTTTGGGACCTCGAGGGGCTGCACTAGCAGCTTTCTAGAACATGGCAGGCGTTACTTGACATTTAGACATAGATTTGAAGAGCAAAAGAATACCTAGCGCCTGTACCTGCTAGAATGGAAGCCGCTTGTTGGCCAAGCTCCCCAACAGTTAGAAAAACTACAGCCAGATTGGCTTTATCCTCTCTCTGCTGTTACAGGGAGAGGGGGGCTGCTGGCTGTGCGCTGTAGAGTTGAGTCCTGCAGGTTTTGTGCTTTTGGGGCTGTCAGGCTGATCTGCAGGGAGGCGGCCTCAGAGGAGAGGATTGAGACCCACCTCCCATTTCCCCTCCTGCCTTTTGGGAGAGGGACAAACAATCAAACAGCTTTGCTCAAAAGCATCCAATCCCATTCTGCTGTCACAATTTGTGCTGGATTATGTTGACGCCAGCTGCATGTGCAGCAGAATGGGAGTCACTAGCAGAAACAGGAAATTGAGATGGATTTTTATTTTTTTTTACGGTCTTGTACATGCATATTTTCATTCCTGCCTTTCCTCTCTGATTCTCAGCGTTCCTTCCTCTCCCGAGATGCTTTGTCCCCCTACCCAGAGTGCCCCGTCCACGTTGGCGCAGTGGGTTGCTTCCCAACAGAGTCTCGGTGCCCACCATTGTCCTGTTTCTCAAGGCACTGACATCCTGAAGTGAGATCACCTGTTGTTTTCTCCCCTGTTGCCCTCCCTACCTGGGAACTGTACATGGAAACTGTCCCTCTCGATGGATCTCTTTCCAAACAGCAGTGAATTGGGAGCCGGGACCAGAGCATAGGCTTGTTAGTGCCAAAGGGTCTGTTAAAGCCACTGGTAACTAATTAACCACTATCTGCCTTGAATGTCTTTTCTTCGAGATCACAGATCGCGTCTCTCCTATAGATGCTATTGACACCTTGTCAGTGTTTGTTAATACGTGAAATGCTATCATGGGAAATAGAACTTAAATAATTTTGTAAGGCAGTGATTCCTACAGAGCGATCTAAAAGACCATTTATCATCTGAATGGTGTTTTCAGTTAAAAGCTGGAAAAACTTAAGGATGAACTGTGGCTTGGGAGCCATAAGCTGAGCACGAAGCGGTCAGAGAATTTGTCTGACTGCCTTCAGTGCTGGTGGAGCCAGAGGAGAGACTGGAGACAGATCCCTGGTAGAACTGGTGCAGCCCATCAGTGTGGGTACAGCTTTCCCTCTAGAGAGGGTCCTGCTCACCTGCTGAGGCTGCTCTCCAGGCTATAGGACAGCACCAGGTATTTTTATCTGCTCATTGAAGCGTGGGCTGAGACCTTACAACTCATTGTAATACCCCTGCTGGCTTGAAAATATCCAGGAAGCAAAAGGTCCCATGCTCTGACATCGATTGCTCAGCCATTCATTTGCAAAACAGGAGCATGTATTGGGAGAATCAAATGCCTTCATTTTGCTCTTGTGTCAGATGTTGTCAGTCTGGCTCCTGCCAAGGCGGTGGTCCTTGCCACAGACTTTTTTTGATGAATCCCAGTAACAAACTGCATGTAATTTTAGCAACTACTGAAGAGCTCCAGCAATGTACTGTAGAAAAGGCAAGCTGCAGCTGCCTTAAATAGACACGTGGATGCGTTTCTTGAGCGGAATAATAATGGTGGTTCATTAAGTGTGTTTTTGGAGTTGGGGGAGGGGGGATGTTTGTGAGGATGAAGCCCCCAAAATCCTCCCCTCTTGCACCATTTTCTATAAGACTGTTCCCTGCCCCGGCATCAGCCTGGAGTCTGGGTTGCAGTCTGAGTGTGGAGTTAGGGTCTGCTGCAGCGCAAGGATGTCTTCATCAGCAGCGTAGTCTGGAATGAGGTGACCATTCAACCAGCACCTCTTTGCTGCCGAGAGCAGTCACAGCTTTCTGTACAGTGCGTCTTGGCCATGCGCTCCAGCCACACTTCTGATGCAGCCTTTAGTTGGATGAAATTCGGGCACACTTGATCTCAGTTGACTTTGGCAACATCTCCAACAGGGTCCAGTTTATCTGAAGTTTTTGCTCCTTTGCAGATACAATAGGATTTCCTTTACTGTGTCTTACTGAATTCCCTCTGTATGTTTGGTTTTGGGTTTTCTTTACATATTTTGGAGTGGATGTTGCTCCCAGTGGGTGTGATACAGGGACTGAGAGACTTCCAGGCTCGTTTAATGGGTGGCATTGAATGGTTCGTTCTGGGTGAGCTCTGTGAGGAGCTAAGAGCACTGGCCCTGCTGCACACGGAGTAGCTTTCCCTGGCAGTTAACTCTCAGCACACCTTGCAGCAGACCTTGCCCTTCTAATCCCGCTGTCCTGGGCTGCCCCTGTGCCTCTGAGCACCCTGGCTTCGCCCCCAGCCGCTGGTGCTGTGCTGGTGCTGACTTGGGCAGTCCTTGGTGTACTCATCCTATTGTGCAAACGCTCCCAAGAAGTGTTTTTACGTTACAGACTCTGCAGATCAGCACGCTGCAGTCCCTTCTCCTGTGACTAAAGGTGCTAAATTGTGCTTTTAACACCAGGCAATGATGAGTGCTGCTGGCTGGGGGAGGGCAGTGATGCCGGAGGATGCTGAGCAGCAAAGTTCATTTAGTAAAAAGATTCTCGTTTGCGTACAAAAGTCCTGGCTTATGCTTAAAGCACTGGGACTTGGACTGAAGTGCCCCTGCTCTTGGTGGTGTTAGAGGAAGTGTAAGTTCAGGTGCTGGTTCCTGCTGTCCTGGACGGATTTTTGCGCATGGGGAATGTTTTTGGCTAAGGTGAAACTTGGAGGCTGGTTCGGTCAGCCTGGTCTGTGCCTCTTTATGCTAGCCTGACTGAAACAGCAGTATCTTTAAGTTTGGCATTTGTTTTGTCTAATTTCATCCATTTAACAGGTATGGAGTTTAAGGCAGTCATTTTGATTTCTTTTCCAGTCAATAGAGAGACGCAGGTGTCTTTGGAAGAGCTCCATTTTTTCCTTTGTCTCCACTGAAAGCAACAGGAGCTCATCAATTCACTTTAATTAGAGGCAGGCAGTTTAGAATGTTCGAACACGGAGAGCACATATCCCCCTGACCTATCCCAAGGGGCTGGGATCCTGGGTATGGAGTTTATTTGTAGAAGGGAAAATGGCTTTTTTTGTTTGGTTGGTTGTTTTAATTCTTAATCTGTTTGTTAAAGGAATGGAGCGACTTGTATTTGGCAGTATTCCTTCTAATTTTGGAGTCTCAGGCTGCTTCTTGAACGTGGGGTTTAAGACAGAGAAACCTTTCATTACTAACTTGTCAGTCTTTAAAAAAAAAAAAGGGGGGAGGGGGAAGCTGCTTTTTAATTAGCACCTTGACATATTTGAGGGTGCATTTGGCAGCAGATGGGCAGGAAAATAAAAAAATACCTGCCTGTGCTCCCTTACTTGTCAGGAGGAGATGCCTGGGCACTCTGAGCCCACCGTTACCCACTTGTGGGTGCAGACCCCAGGGCAGGAGGAGCCCCTTGAAGCCCTGAGGGTCAGCTACTGGGTCTGCTGAGTTTGAGAGTGGCTCTGTGGAAGGCTGGTGGCCCGCCTGTCCCTTCTCCCCGCTGGGTGGCAGGGCCGGATCTCACCTCCCCGCCTCCACGCTGTGCTCTGCAACAGGAGCTGCCAAGCAAGGAATTTTTCCTGCCAGAGCTGCTTAGGGAAATGTGAGCATCTCCCAGCACTCTTCATCACCCCAGGATATAGCAGGAGGGAAGCTTGCCTGGGCAAAGGAATGCTGTAAGCAAGAGTTTCTTTTTAGCCAGAGGGAATCAGCGAGGAAGCCTTTTTTTCCTCTGTGGAGGCAGCTTTTTTTTTTTTTCTTTCTTTCTTTCTCTCTCTCCTCCCCAGCATATTTGCACTGAGTGGGAAATTAAAGCTACTGTTGGTAACATGCTTGCACACAGAAAGGTGCTGGAGCACCCACCATCATCTTGCACAGCCTCCACTTGGGGGAAACTGTACTCGGGAACAGTTTTAAAATGGAGGTAATTCGCTGCCGATGTGTGTGTATGAACCTCTTCTGCAACTCGAGAGCTGCCCAGCATGACAAGCACGGTGCTAGATCTGGTGCGCCCAGAGAACTGCCGCATCTTGCGGTGTGGGCTCTGCTGTCGGCGCGCTTGAACCGTGCACGACTCTTCCACGGCGGGCTGTCTCCTACAGACCCTCAGTTCTGAGTTTTCCTTTGCCAAGCTTGCTTTCCCGGTGCCGCAGGGCTATCCTGTGACTTTCAGATCTGTGAAGCCGCTCCTGCTTAGATCCCCCAGCACAGTGGTGGAAAGAAGCCTTTGCTTCTGCCACATCCTTGCTAACCGGTCCAATTGATGCAGACTGTGCTTTTAATTAGAAAGTGGATTATTTCCAGGCACAAGAAGAGACCCCTGGGCGAGGTGAGCAGCCGGTACTCTCTGCCTCGGTGTACAGGCGGGGGACTGGAAGCACGGAGGTGGCAGTGGACTTGAGAGAGGCAGGGGGTTCGGGTTCGACCCAGGCTTCCGGGTTCAGACCATGCCTGCCCCAGTCCACTGCAACTCCCAGCTTTGAAGCCGAATGCAGGTTTTAGGAGGTGCGTTGACCTATGCTGGAGGCTTTAAAAAAAATGTCGGGCTTCAGGTAACCCTGGCTATTTATCTTTATAGCAGCAGTGCTGTCTGATAACGGCCAGACTTGAAGTAATCTTCTAGGTGAAGCTTTGTTGTCTTATTACTGTTAAATTTTTATACAGTGATTTCAGGTGTGTATGGCTGGGAGTGTGTTGCCCTTTTACCAAGAGATAAAAATCAGGCTTACCATGACAGCAGTAAGGAACAGAAGGCAGGCAGAAGATCAGGTGAGGTCCCTGGGCCTGTGGCTGCAGCTTATCATATCTTATGAACTGAAATATTCCTGTAGTGCAAGACTGTGTGTGGCTGCCCACTTCACTGGGTGTCTTGTAGGGAGATTTGTGAATCACCAGTGCAGGAGAGTGACTCATGTCCAGCTAAGTTTTCAACTGGTTGCTTAGGTTTACCTTTTTTTACCTGGTGGTGTACAAGTGGTGTGCTCGGCTATTTCTCTGTCTTCCTGGAGAGTCTTTCCTGCTCTGAAGTGGTAATGAAGCTTCTTCCTAAATTACTATATCATGGTGGAATCAAAATTAAAAAATTCCAGCATGTCTTTTTACCCCTTTTCCCTGCTGAGGACAGTGCTGACTTTAATCTAGGTGTCTCCCATTGCTTTGTTTGTTTAACTTGAGGTTATTTGTTTCTCTTTCATGTTCCTTCCTTGCCAGAATGTCTGTTTACATTTAGTGAAAAGTTTTGCTGTACATCCAAGGACTGCCTGTGAGCTAAGAGGGTTCCTAAGTGGTTGCATAAAGTTCCATTAGCTCTCTGATGGCTGTCCTCAACTCTTTGGTTGGAAAAGGGATCCTTACTGTTTGAATGGTTGCTGCAGACAGTAGCTGACGGTCACCCGTAGCAGTCCCATGTCCCTGCTGATCATGCGATAAAACAACTCGATATATCACGCGTAATCCCTGTTGCCCGTCATACCATGTGTTTCCCAAATTCCATGTGGCATCCAGAGCAGGGATACGGGTAACACCTCCATTCAAAGAGTGTTTGGAGGACACAGTGTGTGCCATGAAATGATTCCCGTTCTCCTTCGAGTGCCGTCTGTGGGAGTTTCCCTGCCTCAGTGGAGAGAAGGGATCATGATGAGAGTCCTTCCCTCTTCTTTGTTGCAGTTTTTCTCCGGACCTCGCCTTGGACTCTCCTGGCACTGACCACTTTGTTATCATTGCCCAGCTGAAGGAGGAAGTGGCTACTTTAAAAAAGATGCTGCACCAGAAAGATCAGATGATTTTGGAGAAGGAGAAGAAGGTACAGCCCTTGGCTTGCTTCCCCCCGCAGCATGCTGACATATTCACGCAGATCACACTCCAGCAGAGTCTGGCTTTTTATCTTGGAGTGAGCAAGAGAGTTTCTGGCTGTTTCCAGGCTGCCTCCTTTCCAAAGTTAAAGAGGCTTTCTGGACCCACCCAGGAGATCTCATTTCATAAAGGGTCATTTTCTGACCACTGGCTCAGAGCCCTCCATGTGGGGGCAAGACTGAGAAAAAAACATGCCGCTCTGTGCAGGAAGAGAGCTCTGGCTGCTCCCGCTTCTCTGGGCTGCTCAGTGGTACGGGTCTGGTCTCATTGCGCTCCTGCTGCCCACCCCAGCACGTTTCCAACTCATCCAGTCTCATGCAATTTCTGCAAAGGCGTTTTCTGTGGCGAGGTGCGTCTGGGGTTAAGGCATTCATTTCTTCTTCCAGCTCACTTGCTCCTTACTGGTTTATCTGCAGATCACAGAGCTGAAAGCTGACCTGCAGTACCAGGAGTCGCAGATGAGGGCAAAGATGAACCAAATGGAGAAGACACACAAGGAGGTCATGGAGCAGTTACAGGTGACAGCATTTTTGTTTTAATTTGCTGAGCTGTGCTGTACACGGGAGTGACAGAGGACACTCCTGATCACAACGCCCCGTGAGCTTCTGCACACACAGCTCTGCTAACGTTTCTTGGCCCTGTCCTACAGCCTCTGCTCTGCCAGGCCTGCCCCTCCCCAGCTCTGTACCTGGCTGCAGTGCATCGTAACCCCTATTTATACCCTCCCTGCTGCTCTCCACTCGGGCGCAGACCTAGTGTATCGTAAAGCGCTGTGTTGTGTCCCCTATGGACTACACGGGAACCATCAAACTCATTTTACCTCTTGCCAAAATCAGGTTTGAACCTGTTTCTCCAGACTGCAGAACCTTTGTCAGCTCCCTTGCACCATGTAGCTCTTAATGTGATTTATGTGACCTGTAACCGGAGAGAACAAAGCTGCAGAAACAATTGGCAGTTCCTTTAGCGCTGTATCTCTGTAGTCCAAATAAAGAAGTCCCTGAACTCGCGGGAACAGGGAGAGCAGGATTCTTGTCATGGCCATGGAAACACTAGGCAGGCTATCAGCATGAATACACTCTGAGCCAGCGAAGGGATCGGGTCAAAGGGGAGCTGGTTGCAGGGAAGAAATCAGACGCAGAAATGAACTTTGCGCCCTTTAATTACTCTGGGGTTTATAATGGTCTAAAGCCCTAGCGATGAGAAATGGGAGGGGATAAGACAAAAGGCTTATATTTCCCCTGAGAAAACAGCCCCTCCTCCATCAGCACACACCCAAGTTAATTATCAGAGTGGAAGACAGGTTTTGGAGACTGCAGCTGCTGTCGGAAAGCTAGCGCCTGTGAAATCCCCTTCACAATGCACATTCTTAAGCGCTGTAAGCCCGTCTGAAGGTTGGAATAGCCGTGTGCGGTGTGCCGAGGGCTGGACGCACGTCCCGCTCCTCGTGAGCTGGGAGGCACTGGTGGTTTTGTATCTGAGGGACTGATGACAGCCAGAGCCTTCTGTCTCTGTTCCGCTTTATTGATCCTGCACCGCCTGGGTCAGCCCAGAGCTGTTTCGATCTCGTAGCTTTGGGTGGCCTGCGAAGAATGAGTTGGTGTTTACTCCAGTTCTGAATAGACAATTTTCCATTAGCGCAAACCACCGCTTTTTGGTTGCCTCGACAGCCTTGGCTGCGGGGTCAAGGGCTAAGTGGGAGATGACGCCCCCTCCTTGCAGTGGTTTCCCAAGGCAGGGCACGCTGGTCGCAGGGCGTGCGTGGGAGCAGTAGACCCTGCTGCTGCCTTTGCTGTAGCTCAAGGAGGACATCTGCCTTGAAAGCTGTCGGACACCTTCCAACAGCCTTAAACTCGCTCAATTCTGAAAAGAAAGAGGAAGCATCAGATCCACGAGCGGGTTTGCCTGCAGCTACCTGCCTCTCCCGAGCGGAGAGGGGTTTGCGTGTCTGTGCCGTTCTGTACTTAGCTCGGACTGGGACTGCCCTGAACTCCTTCTCTCTGGAGTCCGAATGTTTTACTTCAGCTGGTATTGACTGAGGCTCTGGAAACTTTCATCACTGATTCCAAAATAAAAGTTCAAATCCTCTCGGTGTACTGTAGGTGCCTTGAAGTGTTCATATGATTCGCTTTTTGAATGTGCTCTTGGTTTTTATTATTTTGGGTTGTCTTTTCATGGGGGGAAGCAGGGGTGTCTGTATTCTTCCAGTCTGCAGGAGGTAAAAGAAGTTGCTTTACTACGTGCAGCACTGGAGCAGAGGGTTTAATTCTTCTAGTAACCCTTTGCATAGTCATTCGTTCAGTGGAAGTGAATGCAGAAGACCTGTATCTGGCTTCACACGGGTTCTACCCCTTATCCTATGGCTATAACATAATTTATTTCATAGGTTAGAAGAGAGGGAGCTCAGAACTTTGGTAAAAGGGGATAGAGAGCCTTGTTTGTAAGTTGCCGTGATTTTTAATTCAGTGTAAATGAGAGAGACTGTAAGTTGTTACGTGTTGGTGCTCTGGTGGGTTCAGAAGGCTTCTGGTAGGGATGCAGGGTCGGTCCAGCGATGAATCCTGATAAAATGTTGGTGGCATGTGAAGAAACCAAGGGTGAAGCAAAGCTGGAGAACAGTGCGCTGCTCCACCCTGCTTTTTTTGGTAGAAGGGAGAGTGTGGGGTGGGGGAAGTTGGCCCTCAGCTCACCAAAACGAGAGTCGGGATGGGGGCTTCACTCGCCAGACTTTTACTCCATCGCTCCTCACGCTGTCAGAGCGCGGTGGCTGGTGAAAGGGGAAGGAAGGAAAGGCAGTCCCGCTGACCTTGGTGCGTGTCCTTGGCTGGTTTAATGCGAGTTGCGCATTTGTCGCCTTTCGCCGTGGAAGCTGTTAACTTTCAGCCCGCTTCTCGGTTACAGCGGGGGGCCGCGAGGGGGAAGGGACGGGAAGAGCCCTTCCTGGGTGCTTAGGGATGAGATGGTGGACTTGAGCTCGTGCTGTGGTGCCGCGCAGAAACGTCTACCTCCTTTTTTTGTCCTCTGCGCGCAGGATGCCAGCAGCTTCTGTCCAGGCAATTCTAGGATCCCTAGAACTAGTGATGATCTGTGCCATTAAATACCCATTTTCGCTGTGTTTCCAGGCCAAGAACAGAGAACTCCTGAAGCAAGCAGCTGCCCTGTCGAAGGGCAAAAAGCCTGAGAAGTCGGGAGCAATAACCTCCCCTTAAAACCAAACCCCCAGTTGTGGGAGCTTTCCCCAGCATTAGCCAAGGAGTCTAGGAGGCCTGCCTGATCGCTGGAAGCCAAAACCTCAGTGTTGTCGCTATCCCACTGCCGCGGACTCGATGGAAACGCCTGGTGTGTGTTGCCTTTCGACAGCATGCTGGAGCGTGTCTGGTTTCGATCTCTTGTTGAATACCGGTCTGTATCACGGTGATCCACAGGGAGAGGTCCCAGCCATCCGAAATCCCCCTCCCCTCCCCGAAGTACTGCTTTCTGGAAGAAGGTGGTTTGTTTTTTTTCTTAACCAGTTACTACCACTGCCAACCCTTTCCATTAGCAAACAGGAACCCGCTGCATTAGAGACTTGGTGCTGGTTCCCCACCTGCTGCTGGGAGGCAATAGCCATGACCGGTTCTTACGCAGATAAGACGGGAGCTGCCTGTGGTGGGAGCTGGATTTTTCTTGAACTGTTCCCTCTTCAAAAGGAGACCGATAAATCACCAACCCACCAGATGTTACTGGAAGGTTGTGCCACTGCTGAGAACGGTTGATCCAGCTCTTTGAAGATGCTTCCAAAATGGGGGCTCTGTATTTATCTTGGAAGGTTTTTTTGGTTGGGTTTGTTTTTTTTTTCCTTTGGAGATTTTTTTTTTTTCATTCCTTTCTATGTCAACTTGGCAAACCGAACTGCCTGGGTTTGTGTTTTCTTGTTTTGTTATGATAGCTTTTGGGTTGGGAGCCAGAGTGTAACGATACAGACCCAAACCCCACCCCGTATCCCCCGTCCCCGTGCCCTGGTTACTTGGTGACCTTTGGGGCTTTGAGGACTTCTGCAGCTTGGTGTGATCAAGCGTCTCTTACTCCCTTTCTTTACCCGAGGAGAGTTCAAGGCTTGGATGTTCCCTCTGCTCCCCTCGCTCCCTGGATCGAGCTCGCCCCCTTCTCCCCCTTTCCCTGCCCCATAGCTCCCTTCCAGATGCAGAAGCAGGGGCCGGCTTGGCTCCAGGAGGCAGCGACCCAAGCTGGGGAGTGGGTTTTTTTGGGGGGGCTCTCCGGGGACGTTTCTCCCTGCTGATTAAAAACCAGCAGAATAAAAGGGCTACGAAAGTTCCCTGTAACAGGGATGTGCTTCTCGCGACCAGCACGGAGACCACCGCCCCTTCCAACGAGGCCAGCCGGGGTGGGCGCTCCCCCGGCTCCGTCATTTGGGGCAGCGGAGAGGTGGGGGACGCACACACAGGGCGGATAAAAAAAGCACTTGGCCACTGCGGAGGGGAAAGCCACGCGTGGCTCTGGTTGGCAGGAGCGCTTCCTCCTCGCCGGCCCGGCACCGAGCGCCCTTCAGGCTGGGGAAAAAAAAACATCTCAGGGTTCGCAGCCTCTCGGGGCGCAGGAGTAGGAGGTGAAACCTTCGGAGCGGCGCTGAAGGTTGGTAGGGAAGAGGAGAAATCCTCCTTTTTGATGCAGGGCAGGCTGCTCTGGCAGGGGTTTTATTAAGCTTTTAACTAGGGGTTGTGATTTATTTTTTTTATCCTTTTTTTTTTATTTTATTTTATTTTTTTTCCTTTTTTTTTTTTGTTACTAAAGACGACTTTACTCAAAGGCACTTTTTTTGATGATGTTGGCTTCCGGTGTGGAAGGAGCACAGCGCAGCATCAGACACTCTGCCATGTGGGTTTTTGGGTTTTTTTTTGGATGTTTGGTTTTGTTTTTTTTTTTAAGAGACTTCTGATGTGATAAAAAAGAAAAAAAAAAAAAAAAAGCTGTTACACTTTGCCAGAGTGTGACAGCAGGAAAATACTCACCTAATTTTATACTTCACACGTTTTTAGAAAATGAGGCGCGTTGACGGGATTTTTTTTAAACGGGGGCTTTGCTTTTTCGCTTCCCTCGAGATACAGAAATAAAGAGAGGGAGAAAGGCCCTGTGTATACTATTATGGGTTGGGGTTGTTTGGTTGGGGTTTTTTTGGGTTTTTTTTTGTTTTTTTTAATTGTGATAAATTGATCATGCAGTTGAGTAGCTGATGATTTGTAGTAATAACGTTTCTTTGTATGTTTGTAATAATGGAGATTTTAAAAGGGACGCTTTGATTTGTACAAAACTCTTGACAACTGTAAAAGTGTTTTAAAAAAAAAAAAAATCCTCATCTGTGTCTGATACTTTCTATTTGCCTTAAAGAAAACAAAAAAAAAAACAACCACCAAACCCAAAACCCGGTAAGTGCAGCATCCTTCCCTGCCTGGAACTGGTTGAGCTCCTGCTGGCGGCTGCCTGGTCGGAGCATCGGTCGCGCGGCTCCGGGCTCTGGCGCGTATGGGAAGGAGGCGGCATTTTTCTATTGTTTGGTTCGCTCCTACTTTTGTTTCTATCTTTAAATCCTCCCGATGGAGCCTGTTGCTAGGAGCCCCGTTACTTGGTTACATCCACCTTCCCAGGACCCATCCGCCCCTATCCCACGAGATCTCTTTTCTTCCCCAACCGCCCGAACGGAGAGGGAGCCCAGAAACAACGCGTTCTTGGTGGGAAACAAAAAGACGGGAGGATAAGGGGTTCTCTTAAGATACAGACGCAGAAGAGGTGAGTAAACACCATTCGTGTCTCTGAAATCTTCCCCTCAGCTCAGCCATGAGTCTGGAGGAAAAGAGAGTTCTTTTTTTGTTTTGTTCTTTTTTTTTCTATTTTTTTCTCTTTCTTCTCCTCCTCTTCTTCTCCTCCTCTTCTTCTCCTCCTCTTCTTCTCCTCCTCTTCTTCTCCTCCTCTTCTTCTCCTCCTCTTCTTCTCCTCCTCTTCTTCTCCTCCTCTTCTTCTCCTCCTCTTCTTCTCCTCCTCTTCTTCTCCTCCTCTTCTTCTCCTCCTCTTCTTCTCCTCCTCTTCTTCTCCTCCTCTTCTTCTCCTCCTCTTCTTCTCCTCCTCTTCTTCTCCTCCTCTTCTTCTCCTCCTCTTCTTCTCCTCCTCTTCTTCTCCTCCTCTTCTTCTCCTCCTCTTCTTCTCCTCCTCTTCTTCTCCTCCTCTTCTTCTCCTCCTCTTCTTCTCCTCCTCTTCTTCTCCTCCTCTTCTTCTCCTCCTCTTCTTCTCCTCCTCTTCTTCTCCTCCTCTTCTTCTCCTCCTCTTCTTCTCCTCCTCTTCTTCTCCTCCTCTTCAATTTTTTCCTAATTTTTTTTCTTATTTTCCAGCAGAAATTTGGTAGCGAGAAAAAAAAACAAAAAACAACAAACCACCCCGGAGATTTCCATTTGGAAATATCCCGGTGCTTGTGGGAGGCCGTAATTCAGCATTTTGTGCTTTTTCCCCCCCCCACCTCCGCTGTCGGTGCGGCGTCCCGGTGAGGCGAGCGACGCCGCGGCGCGCCGTGCTTTGCCCTGGCGGGGCAGAGGTGCTGCCGTGGCCTTGAACGTCTGTTCCCGGAGCGCTGCCTGTTGCGCGGGGTGGGAAAAGGCAAACCCTGACTGTTGAAACACCCCAGCGGCTTTTCCGACTCCAAATAATCTTTCAAAGCCTGGAGTTGCACGCAGAAAATAACCATTTCTCTGGGAATCCTTAGTTTTGACAAATACCCAAACGCGGGCAAGAAAAATGGATTCTGTGAAATCTTTCTCATCGGTGCTATTCCAATTGCTTTTTTCTTCTTCCAACCTCTCTTCTCGTGCCTGAAAAGCAGAGGCCGATGTGCGCCCGTGTGGATTTTCATCCCGGGTTTGCCGGATTTCAGCCCCGTGACCTGAGCCCCGGCGAGCGAGGGATCTCCCGCTCGAAGCACCCAAGCTCCTGCAGCCTCGCTGAGTTTCTGCAGCTCGGGGTGATGCCTTAGACCGTGCGGGGTCAGCCCAAAAATCAGGGCTAGTACCCTCAACACGGGCTGAGGGTGCGAAACCAGCGCGGTTTCTTCAGAGCGTCCTTCACAGCGCGGGACTCGGGGCTTTCTGAGCCGAGCGTTGCATCTGTGGCCTTGAGCGGTTCCTCCTCCCTCTTCCTCAGGCTCCTTTTCAGATCCCAGCATCCCAGACTGGTGGGGGCTGGAAGGGCCCTCTGGAGCTCCCCCATCCCACCCCCCGCCAGAGCAGGGGCACCTCCAGCAGTGGCACAGGACGGCGTCCAGGCGGGTTTGGGATGGCTCCAGAGGGGGAGACTCCCCCACCTCTCTGGGCAGCCTGTGCCACTGCTCTGCCGCCCTCACAGCAGAGAAGGCCCTTTGGGGATTGATGAGCATTGATGAGATCCCCCTCAGTCTTCTCTTCTCCATACTAAAACCTCCAAGTCCCTCAGCCTTTCCTCGTAAGAAAGATGCTCCAGTCCCCCCATCATCTCCGTAGCCCTTTGCTGGACCCTCTCCAGCAGTTCCCTGTCCTTCTTGACCCGGGGAGCCCCGAACTGGACACAGCGCTCCAGATGTGTCCTCCCCAGGGCAGAGCAGAGGGGGAGGATGACCTTCCTCCACCTGCTGGCCACACTCTGCTTGATGCCCCCCAGGATGCCATTGGCCTTCTTGGCCACCAGGGCACATTGCTGGCTCGTGGGCAGCTTGTTGTCCCCCAGGACTCCCCGGTCTCTCTCTGCAGAGCTGCTTTCCAGCAGGTCACCCCCTAACCCATACTGGTGCGTGGGGTTTTTCCCCTTGAGGTGTAGGACCCAACTTCATGAGGTTCCTCTCCATCCAACTCCCCAGCCTGTCCAGGTCTTGCTGGATGGTGACACAGTCACCCACCCCTCCCAGCTTTGTGTCACCAGCCGAGTGGACGCTCTGTCCCCTCATCCAGGTCATTGATGAGTATGTTGAACCAGACCGGACCCAGTACTGACCACCGCTAGCCACGGGGCCCCAACTGGACTTGGTGCTGGTGGTCGCAACCCTCTGAGCTTGGGAGACGAAGGTGCCAAATCGCACGCTCACCACGGGAAAGGCTCATCCCGGTGCGAGAAGGTGAATTTGGCACCTCCGTTCCCGGTTAACGCTGCCTCGGGGTGCCGGCGGCGCTTTCTCTCCGCTGAGCGCAGCACAAACCTTCTCACCCTCCACCGCACCAAATTCTCCTCCTGTACAGCCGGTCGGGAGAGAGACGACACCTGATGTGCCAAAGGCTGAGCTGCGAGTCAGCGAGGAGAGCCGGAACCGGCCGAGATCCTCACCCTCCGCCTCCCGTGCCGTCTCTCCGAGGGACCGCTCCGTCTCTGCCCCGGCAGAGCTGCGGGGAGTGTTTCCAACGGGTTACGGGTGATTTTTTAGCATTTCCCGGCCAGACCTTGGGTAAGAAATGGCTGGGTCCTGCCTTTATCTGCTCGCACACGCTTCCTTCTCTCTGTGGTTTATCCCCCGCCTCTAAAGCAGTTTGAACGATTGCAGAAGGAAATAGATATTTTTTAAAAAAATTATTTTGGGTTGCGATTGCTTTATTTCTATTCCAAAGGTTTA